TTCCTTTGCAAGGTCACTCTGTTGACCCCTTGGGAAACTCATTGAAGGCACTAACTTGGCAGAAGCCTAGTAACTTCTAGGTACAGATCAATTTCTTTTTCTGTTAATAGGAAAATTTGCATTTGGGTAATAGGGTTGGATGCTCATCCTAAAGGAGAAAGGTATTTGCAAATTCAAGTGTATTAAGCTTTGGCAGATTCTCTTTCATTCATACAGGTATGTTGTATAATCAAGCTTAGATAAACTGCTGCTTATCAGCTCCACTGCTGAAGTTTCAATCATTCGATGAGTCAACTTGTAATTGAAGTAAATTTAAATTTATGTAACTTGTACATATACACATACCTGCAGTCTCTGGCCTATTGTTGTCAGTATCTGCCATGTGTTGAAAATATAACTGTTCTTCAGGCAAAGCTAAAGCAGCTGACACATTTTCCCCCCCAAGGGAATAAGAAATGATAGAAATGAAAATTACTTGCTAATTATTAAAATGTCCCATTAACTCCCAAATTTTAAGTATAGAGATGGACTTTTCAGGATGCTGTTAGAGTCAAGAGCTATGGGAGAGAAATCACTCAAGAGGACTGATTTCTGAAATCAAAGAGACTGCACATGCAGCCTCCTTCAAACCCCACTTTTACAGAACTTTGTGGGATGGAGCCCAAATTCCTCTGCTGAGCAGAAGAGGACACCTCCCTTGGCCGTGGCTTCAGTGCCGTTGAGTGATTTACGTTTTGATCAGAGGCTTGCTGTGGTTTTTCAGAAATAAAAATGAGATCTGCAAATTCCATTCAATATTAAACATAGAGGCATTTATGTTGGTTGTGTTTATTAAGTTTTTATTTTGTTTTTTTTCAATACTGTTACCAGTCTGTGTTAGAAAATATTACATTCCTGCAACTATTTTTAAATTTTGGGAAACCTGGATTTGTTCATTACCCATGCTTTTATGAGAACCATTTTCGTAATGCAGTTTTTTTTAAACCTCCTGAGATTGTGCAGGCATTATTGTTTTGTTAGCTGTGGTTGTTGACTGTAATACCTGCAGAACTGTTATTTTCAGAAAACAAATTTCAAAGAATGTTGAGCGTATTCATTTAACGTGCATTATTACAGTATCTATCTTGCATCTCCAATTGTTGCTTTGCTTTATCTTCTCAAGTACAGAACAATTAAGTGCTTCTGTTCATTAACTGACAACAGAAGATTGTATGTAAAGGTCTTACATCCCTCAGAAATGAGTAATTTATAAATGTGTAGTTAAGCTGGTTTTCAATTTATGAAAGAATATAATCTGATACTCTGAGCCCTGCTTCTGTTTAGATTTATAACTGTAATATTCAGACACCTATACATTTTGAAAGATGATATCTAAAGTATTTTTTTTGTTTGAATAACAAACTGACAGGCAAGCTGTTAAATGAAGTGCCAAAGAAATGCTGATTATTTGCAAACAAGTGCTTCCTGGTTTTTGTCGTTATTTAGTTGTTGTCTCTGCAGAAAAGATGTTGCAGACTGGCAGCATAGCTCTTCAGTTGAGGCTTTTCATTCGGTGAAGTTCTTCAGTCAAAAATAGAGCCATTACCAGTGAGCTTCACGCCTGTGTTAGTCTCCCCTTTGTGTACCTACCTCTCTTCCTTTTGTATCATGCTATTCAGAAAGATTTTTGGAAAGTTTTTTTAAAATACAGGAGGCAAGAAAGCCATTGCTCAATTGTGCTTGGGAACTAGCAGCATTTCAAATTACTTCAGATTTCTGTTATCATAGGCCTGGATTCACACTAATGGTGTCCCTTTAGTGACCTGAGACATCAGAGAGACAGGCTCTGGCCCACAACTGCCTCCACAACAGCAAATTTTTATGCTTGGGTGAGGCTGTATGAGCATCCTCTCGCATGGATCATGCTGCAAGGTCACAGCTGTGTTTTGAGAGCTGAGGTTTCTAGGATGTGTTTACAGGAGCTGTTTGGATTATGCAAAGGATGTGCAGGGATTTTCTGCTTTCTTTCATCAGCCCTGTGTTGTCTCTGTCCCCATATAATGTTTCTTGAAAAAACAAAAGATTTTGCTGGGTTTGTGCAGAAGCCACAGCGGTTGGTTGCGATGAGCTGTGCAGTGTTGAAAGAAAGAATAGCTTTGAGTAAAGGCAACACTGCGTGTTCAGTGCTTTGTGCTTGACTTGTCTGGAACGTTTGGGAGAGGACATAGACTCTGAGTAAAGCGGGCATCACCACAACACCACAGCAGAGACTTCAGAACAGCACATTTTTGTGTTTTGTATTACTGTTTGTGACATCTCAACCAGCCTAGGTATGTCTATTAGCTCACTGAAATATAGACTTACTGCCTGTGGAGGGGCTTGTTTGATGGTGGGCACGTTGTCTTTCTAAGCTTGCCTTGATGGGGGCAGTTGGCCCGTGTATTCAGATGAACCCCTTTCTCCATAGCGTGGCTTCACCCTTTAGCTTTGCGCTCCTGGGGTTGCATTCTGGCTGTGATGGGAGGAGACCAGATGAGCGGCTGGCGCGGGCTGCTTTTCGAAGTGATGCCCTTTGCGTCCTGCTCTTCTGACAGACGAGGACGATTTGCCACAGAATGTGAGCAATTGGGAGTGCAGGTGTGAGAGATAATGGGCGGGTGAGTGTGTGTGCAGAAGCGAACGCAGATGGGGAGGGGAGAGGAAAGACAAGGAGCGAGAGACGGAGGAAGTAAGCACATATAGGAGGGAGCGAACCTTGAAAATCAGAGCTTTTGATTAAAAAAAAAAAATCCAATACAGCTTTAATTATAGTCATGCTGCTGGCACCACCATAATATATGTTTAATTAATCAAAAATGATCCAACTTCAAACATTAGAATTCATGCTCTTTAGAGGTTCTAAAGAAACTGAGTAAATATTGTCAGCCATGGTGTGGAGAGGGTGAAGGAGAAAGAAAGAGAGTTTGAAATGAGTCACAATCCATTGTGAAACGTACAGGAATCTGCATAAAAGAACTAAATAAATAGAGTGTGCAAGGGGCGGGGGCATGGAAAAATCCGTACCTACCTGAATAAAACAGGGTTGTTAACACAGGAATCTTGGCAAGCTTAACCAGAATTCTAGTGTCATGTTTTAAGAGACACTTTAAGATCTCTCAGCTCTTTGTGGAGCAGTTTATAAGAAAACAAAGGAAGGCAGAGAGTATCTTGAAGGCCATCACAATAATATAGAGGCTAGCCCTGAAAAGCACTCTTCCACAAAGATGAGCAAAATACAATGTGTTCAGCCAAAGGAAGCCAAAAGGGGAGGAACACAGTGAGAGAAGTAAATTGAAAGTCTTAGCGATGTAAAAATTCCAGAAGTTTAAAAAAATAATCTGGCATAAATGTTTATTAAGCACACATCCTGCCTTGCAACAATATTTTGTAAAGCGAACAGTTTATTACTGTCGTGGGTGCTGGCATGGGGACAACCCCTGCACCTAAAGTTCCTCTGAAAATCTCCCAGAGAAGAGGCAGTGTGCTCTCAAAGTTAGTGTTG